TCTGATGCTTTGGCTTCTCATGATGATTTTAGCGATGTTAGTTGCTGAGGCAATGGTCATATTCTTCGTCTCAGAATGATTTTAGGGGGTGATGCTGGCAATGGTTTTGAATTAGTGCACATTCTTTCTCCAGATGGTTCTGTCAAACCACGACATATGCCGGTACCTGATTTCTTCAGACAGCGTTCTCAGTCCGGTCAACTCTCATCTCCAAGATCTTTTCATCATTCAATGAAACCATCATAGTTTCAGAATGTTCCGCAAGCAGCAATGATGCAGACTGTCGAACTTCTTTTCATGGTGTTTAAGAGAATTGATATTTCGAAGTTGCACATCAGTATTAAGAAGACGGTGACTTTCAGTATGGTGATCTTCGTTGCTACCGGATAGACCGGTTTTGGCACACTATAGAAAGTCGCCCGAAGTTCACAGATACCAGCCCTAAGCGCTGTTCTACTACCACGTCGTAACTTCTGTCTCTTGCCAGTACAGAACTGATGTGCTTGAAGTTTTCAACTTCCTCGATAGTCGTTCCATCCATTGAATCTTCGGGCAGTTAGTCGAGTCGAGTGCTCACAAGATCTTTGCTTTGGTGGAGTTAACTTGGCCACCGTCGAGACAATCTTGCACATTTCTCTGTCGGTAAGCCATTGGTGGAGTCATTCAGCAGTACACTGTCATCAATGTACTCGAGATCTGTTATGAGTATTGCTGGGTACCTTCCCTTGAGTCGTCATCTGATAATAAATCCTTCGCTGCTGTTGTAGACGACGTTCCTCCGTATCACACGATCCACCACCATGTTGAATAATAGAGATAAAAGCATCTCTCCTTGGTGCACTCCACTGCTGATGATAAACCAGCTCTGATAACGCCTTTAGTACCTTCGTAGAGTCCTTTCAGGAGACCAGTGATCTTCGGCAGTTACATCATAGTGTCGCAATATACGGCACGACGATTGACGGTGTACCGAGTCAAAAGCTGCTCAGAAGTCGAAGAATGTTGCACGCCAGGACAAATGAAAGCTCCTTCTCTGTTCAATAATTTTCGTTAATGCGTAGTTTTTCTTTCATAACCATCATTATGGTGACAGAAAATCCTTTTTTTCTGGTCCACTTGCCAATCGCTTGATCTGTTAGCTGTTTATCGGCAAGATCTGTGTCACACGGTAAGTAAGGACAACACTGAGTAAAACATCGAAATTCGACAAACTCCCAGTACACACCTGCATATTAAGATATCGTTCAACCATTTATAGACAGCATCAACTGACGATAGCAAATTGGGCACCATAACTATGAGAATTTCGTTGAAGTACTTATTTATGTACATCTTGCGATGGCCAACCGCTGTTTAAAAATTTTTTCCGCTTTTAATTACGGTTTCTGCATTATTTTGCAGATCCCAGCGAGGTGATAGATGAAAAATATTAATGAAAACTGGTATCAACCAGTCACAAAATGACTATTTCGCGTTTTCCAAAATTTATGTCCTTATCGGACACCTCCCTTGCTCACGGTTGGTTGCAGTGGTAGCGCATTCTAAATTTCGGAAACACCTGCCAGAAGAATACGTTCAAGAATATTCATCACTGTTAAACCATTTACAAGAGCCAAGATACCTTAGTTCGTTTCTGGGCTGGCAGACAGCATTTTAACGTATGAACAGATCTGCTGTTGGACTGTAATTTGTTTCATTCTTTCGAATTGTTGAAAATTCATTCACTGAAAACCAAGATGGTGTTTTATGCAAAAGGGTAAACAGTTACTTTCTGAAAGCACACTGAGTCAAACTGCCGTTTCGATTCTTCTCAGGCTTGTTCAATTAACGAATAAGGCAATCACTGAAATGAACCAACAATTAAGAACATCGCGCGATACATACAGGCTGCTGCCGCTCCCGCAGTGTCATCAAATGTTGTTCAAAACGGACACACGGCATATTATACAGGTATTTACTTTGTCTACAATATACTAAATATACGCCTTAAAAACCATCAACATATTCTAATATGTTAAACAAACACAGTTTTAAAACAGACGGTCAAGTGCAAGGTTAACTTCGTTGCTCAACCGGTGACTTTTGGAAGAATTTTGTTTGAAGCGTCGCGAACCCTTCGGAGGCCGGTGCAAACTTTGCAGCTAAGATCGCAGTTCAGTGACCTGCGTATGACCAGGTCGAACAAGTTCTACGCAACGCAAGTGCAGTGCGTCTGCAAACAAGTAACGAACGTTAGCTGAAGACGAAAACACGAACAACAAAACATTACAGATAACTACAACATCGATATTCATTAAGAATCATCGAATGAAAAATGAAATGATCTTGAGATGATCGGCCTGAGAATGCTGTCTGAAGAAATCAGGGACCGGGGTCTATCGTGGTATGACAGAACCATTCGGAGAGAGAACAGTGAGCCATGGAAAGCCATTCTCCTCTGGGAAGCAAAAAATAACTGCAAAGGTGTCGGAGGACAACATCTCATCCTTAAGCAGCTGCGAGAGGAGGACTTGCTTGCGACGAAGAATATCTCGAAGCAACCAACAGTGTTTGTATCTTTCCGAAAAACCAAAGCGTCAGACATCCTTAATCTCGGTAATCGGTCTTTGACTCTGATACTTTAGATGACGATGAAAATAATATTCGTTAAACATTCGTCAGACATTCGTTAACTATGATCATTTCCTACATGCAGTACTCGGTGAAATCTGGTCTTGTAGGAGTGTGCGCTATCTGATATACTCTGGCTTACCAGCATATTTTGATGTTCATGT